CCCTATAACTTGACATTTTTAATGAAGAACCTGAGATTCCCCTGTCTCCCCCTGCTGCCTTGTACCTGACTGAAAAACCTCATGCTCTAAAGTTAAACTAGGGGGGAAATGGAGGAGAACAGCTCATTCTTTAATTTTTATTTTCTCCACAGTGTTCTCCACGTGCCTTACACTTTGCCTTTTTAAATAGTTCAGCAAGTAAACTTGATTAGTGTGATGTTTAATTTTATTACTTATATGAGCAAACATCTATTCTAAGACATGCTTTTTTCATATTTGAGCATCTCTACAATTGGTTAGGGTTTTACAACTTTCTTAGCCTTGCATCCTGGTGTCATGGGCAGCATTTTTTCCCCTTTTAGTGGTATATGAAGCATATTATAATTCATGACATTTTATTTTAGTGTTTAAAAATATTAATAGTGGATTCTTCTGTCTTTTGTTGAAAGGATGATATTAAATCTATGAGTGTTGGGGGCTCTAGTTCATTATTTGGAACCAGTTTCAGTTCATTGTAGCTAACTATTCTAAACATTGGTTTATTAGCTGTAAACACATGAAGATCCTGCTAAGGAACTTTAGTGTCTACATGTCCTTTTTTTTTTTTTTTTTTTTTTAAAGAGAGGGAGGTGGGAAGAGGCAGCAGTAGAGGGAGGAGAGAATCTTAAGCGGCTAGCACAGAGTCCGACACAGGGCTCGATCTCACAACCCTGAGATCATGACCCGAGCCCAAATCAAGAGTCAGTTACTTAACTGCCTGAGCCACCCAGGCATCCCTCCGTGCCTTTTGAGAGAAAATTTCATTAAGCTTTTTTTCTTCCATGTTCTGTTGAGATCCTTTGTAAGTCATAAGGATCACATTTTAGAATGCCATATGCTAGTTATTAATGACTTGTTTATTTTAATGTTAAAAACATATCCTTGAAGGGGTTCTGATATGTTATTGGCTTTTTTCTTAAAGCTCACACATGGATTTTGGGATCAGGTTTTCTCTTGCAGTAAAATTATCTTCCAAAGGGTGGTGATGCTGTAAAGTTAAACATTTAAACTACAGAGCTATAATTTGTTTAATCAATATAACTAAGGATGCTACGGTTTGTTCTCTTCGGTAGAAACGCTTTTTTTGTTATTGTCTTGTTTTATAGCACTAGAAGGAGCTAAACTTATTTCCTGTTTCAGAAGTCATCAAGGAAATATGCTTCGATTCTAGTCTGTGATTCACATGTGCTCACAAGTTGGACACCCCTCTGTGACCTAAAGCTTGGGGAGGGGTGGAAGCATGTCATCTGTCCTTACACAAGCACTTCTCTGGGCTGCAGGAACATAGAATGTTCACACCTTGTTTCCTTTGATCCCAGCCAGCTCTCTTTCAGTGAATGCACACCTTTGTGGGTCAGTTTATGTTCTCAGCTTTATTTGGATTAATTCCTATGTCAGAATGGGTCCGACTTGGAAATATGCAGCCTTAACTCATCCTCGTCATCCTCCCTCCTGTTGAAGCTCTGTCAGGAGATTGGGCTTGTGCAGGGCCGTTCTTGACCCCCTTGCAGCTTTCTGTCTTTTCAGCAGCACCTGTCATTTCCTCTTGACTCTGCTTTTGGGGTTTTTCCAGGAAAAGCTGGAAGATGTGCCGCTCAAGTGCACCAGGGTGCAGAGCGGAGACATTGCGGCTTTTTCCTTTCCCTCCTCAGCTTTGAGGGTCAGCTGTCTGGCCACGGAACTTTGGGGCAGTATGGCACAAGCTGGTCCCGCTGCCTGTTTCTGGCAGGCTCCATTTCTGCTAAGGGCAGCAGCAGAGGTCACAGGCTGGCCACTGTCACAGAGCGGCCCTGGGGTGTGTTCAGGTGGATCAGTGTGCCCATGTTTTTGCCGGGAAAAAATTGCTTGTGCTGTCATAACGAAGAACAATAAAAAAATTATAAGAGAAGAAATTACTTTTTAGCGAAAGCTTGAAGCATAACATTAATTCATGAGGAAGTTTTTTTGTTTTGTGTACAGGTCTATGAGTTTATAGTGAACAGTGAATTTCTTATATCCTTGTAGTTTTCAATGTATTGTGGGCCAGATAATGTTTTTCAAGTACCTGTTTCCTTTATTTCTGTTAGGGTGCAGCCTTTGTGGAATTTGATGTACATCTTTCAAAAGATTTTGTGCCTGTGGTGTATCATGATCTTACCTGTTGTTTGACAATGAAAAAGGTATGTTGAAATTCCTTCCATTTCATTTTATTTATTTTTTAAGGTGGGGGAGGGGAGAGAGAATCTTAAGCAGACTCCGTGCCCAACGCAGAGCCTGACACGGGGCTCGATCTCACACCCCTGAGATCATGACCTGAGCCAAAATCAAGAGTTGGTCGCTTACCGGCCTTAGCCACCCTAGTGCCCCAAAATTCCTTCATTTTAAACTCTTACAGTTAGATAGGTTTAAATGCTAGGAAGTTTGTTTTACATATATGTGTAGAGTTATTTATTAGGGTTGATCAATTCATTTTTTTGGTCAATTACTGCCAATTCTTTCCTCTGTCAAGCTCCCACAACATCGAGAGAGTAAGGAGATGGGAATAATAATTGCCTAGAGTGGGGTCTCTGTATTGCTGATTTGCTTTCTTCTACTATCTAACAAAAGGACCTTCCAGGTGGCTTCTGTATCAGTCTGCCACTGTTCTGTATTGAAGCAAGGGAGGAAGCTGTCAGAGTGTCTGTTTTCTAGCCTCCCTTCTATTTCTGCTTCAAGCTTTTCCTCAGATTAATAGGTTAGTATGATTTGGCCAAAAAGAGAAGAGCCACAGTGGAAAAGCACTTTGGAGCCAGATAGTGGAGGGCCTCAGGAAAGGGGTGTAGATTTAGGAGCTAGGAAGATGTGACAGACTTTTGAGTGAAGAAGGGAAATGTTCAGAACTAAACCTCTAGATGTAAGTACCTGATGTAAGGGGAATTTAAGAGGACAGAGACTAGAGACAGGGGGAGTGGTAATGTGGCCAAAGATACAGTAAGCCTGGACCAGTGTGGAGATAGAATGGAGAATGGCACGATGGAGGAGAAAGTCCAGAAGGAGATTTGAAAATATATATTGTTTCTTAAAAATTGTAATCGTTGTGTGAACATAATTGTGATAATTGCATAGTGCTTAAACTTTAGTGTACAAATTAACCAAGTGATTTCTTAACTTAAACTAGGAGGGGGCGCCTGGGTGGCTCAGTCGTTAAGCGTCTGCCTTCGGCTCAGGTCATGATCCCAGGGTCCTGGGATGGAGCCCCGCGTCAGGCTCCCTGCTAGGTGGGAAGCCTGCTTCTCCCTCTCCCTCTCCCACTCCCCCTGCTTGGGTTCCCTCTCTCTCTGTCAAATAAATAAATAAAATCTTCAAAAAAAAAAATAATCTGGCAAATATACAACTCTTAAAAAAAAAAAAAAAACTTAAACTAGGAGGGTTCATTTGGCATTTTCTATAAAACTATTGGGTATCATTTTCCACTGAGGTGATTTAAAGTTAAGGCTAGTGTGCTAACATATAGGACACTCTACCAGACACAGTTGTTGTAGTATATATGGCCAGGTGCCTGGCTCTGCCTGCTCATGGATTTGAATCCGTCATGGGGGTTTGGAATACTATGATGTATGGAAAAGCACGCTTCCACTTCTAGAAGTGGACCCTGCTGTTTTTGCATATGTGAAGGGGCTAGGCTGTAAGTCTTTGTTGGTAGACCATAGGGGCTGACCGTTCTCTTCCATAGTCTTAGGAGAGAGAGGGAAGGAGATGCACCTACTTAGATAATAGAGGTAAAATAACTTAGTAGAAAAGCAGCAGATTGTTTTGCTCTGGGGAAAAAAATCAATGCAAAAGTGGAACAGGAAGAAATGGAGCAGTAAAGATCTTCGTAACCAAGATTGAGGTCAATCAAGCTGTAATTTCAAAAAATCTATGAGTTAATTGAAAAGTATCACTGATCCGGTTTTCACCAGACTTTGTCTTGCTCTTAAGTTGAACCTGGATGAGTTAGAGAATGAAAGTAACAAATTGTATGTATTTTTAGTTTTAATTTTTAAGCTGGTATTTTCCTTAACAAAATCAATTCATGTTCATTGTAGAACTGCAGAAGATTATGACATGAAAAAGAAATCTTCCTTTCCCCTTTCTCCTTGGTCACACTTCCTTACTCTTAACAGTTTCTTGTGTGTCCTCTAGAAGAGCCTTATGCACAGGTTTATACCATATGTATGTGAATGAATATAATGGATTTTAGCATATTTGTTGATTGATGATTTATTGGTGGTCCATTAATTCATTTCCTTAAGATGGGGTGCCTAAATAGTGTGGCGTTTGATATGGTAGTAAAATCTAATAAAACAGATTTGTTCATGGGGAAAACATTTGTAATAGATTAGAGTTTCTGTTAAGATTAGAGTTCCTGTTAAATATTACTGCTTAAAACTAATCAGACATTTTTTTCCCATGACCATTGATTTCTATGGCTATTTTTAACCAAACTTAAGTTTAAAAGGCTTAGAAACTTATTGACAGAAATTAATCCTTGTCTAGGCCTTGTACATGTTGATTGCCTAGTCTGTAGCATGGATATATATATGTCAAATAAAATGTCAACAGCATGACAGGAAGTAAGGAAAATGGCTGATTTCTGGCTTTCTTTTCAGTATGTCTTCAGGGCCCCATCCTCCTCCCAGCTGTTTTTTTCTTCCAGGCACTCCCACCTACATCAAAAATGAAAACCAGAATTTAAGATCTGGAAGGTGGTGTTTAAAAAAGGGGGCTCCCCTGCATGGGCTTGTTGCGGCCTCTGAACAGTTGTTATCATTCACTAAGTTGGGATGTTAGGCCTGTCTAGGGTTAAACATTCAGTGATAATTTGAGGCCTATTTTTCTCTTTATTTTCTTTTTAGAAATTTGATGCTGATCCAGTTGAATTATTTGAAATTCCAGTAAAGGAATTAACGTTTGACCAACTCCAGTTGTTAAAGGTAGTAATGATAACATAAAATGTAAATGATCTTTTAGTTTTAGAATGATTTATACTTCGTGTATGTTTTCTTTGTGCATGGAGATGACTATTTAGCATGAGGAGAGTGTATGCTTTGGTTCTCTGTACTATTAGGAAGAATGGGTTTGCGCTAATCCATCTGTCTTCTCTAACAGTTTCCATGGACCCTACTGTTTTTGCATATGTGAAGGGGCTAGGTTATAAGTGTGTTAGTGGACCATAGGGGCTGACCCTTCTCATTCATAGTATTAGGTTGCCTTTGGTCCGCATTAGCCCTTCTTTATATAACTATTTTACAGTTGCACTTTTATGCTGTCCTTGGTTTTGTACTTCTGTCACTAAGATCTTTTTATATTTTTTATACCATGTAATTTTATATGATCACTCTTCCTGTTCTCACTAGATACCTATATAAATGGTTGATTGAGTATAAACAGTTTCTTAAGAATTTTTATATTCTTCTTCCCTACTTGGGTATTTGATCATGATCTTATGTGTATGTATGCACATATAAAATATATATAGCGGTTAGTGATTATTCTTACTAAACTGATAATTCTACATTTTATGGTTTTCTTTAACTTGCTAGATTTTCAAGTTACAGTTCTGTTAACCATATCTTCATAAATTAAGGCTTTTTTTTCTGATTGCATTTTGTGTGTGTGTATGTTTTCTAGCTCGCTCATGTGACTGCTCTAAAATCTAAAGATCTGAAAGGTATGTACTAATATGGAAGCACTATTTTCATTTCCCTTTTTTTTTTTTTAACATACCCTTGGTCATTTTAATATTGGGCTATCTAAATAATTTTACAGACATGAAGTCTTTACACATATTAATTTTCAAATGCATTTATGTCATGTGTATAGTAATTACGAGTTTTTACTTTTTGAGTTTTCTTAGCTTGATGACCAAAGTTTTTTGTAACTTTGTACCTATCATTTTTTCCAAACATTCTTAACCAAAGAAGAAAGTGGAGGGTATATCAAGTATGAAAGCTGGCTCTAGAGCCAGGAGTTTGAATACAACTCTAACATTCACCAGCTGTGACCTTGGGCGGATTACTTTACTTTAACCACTTTGTCCCTCAGTTTCCCTAAAACTTGTCCTGCCTACAAAATCCCTTTGTAATTGTACTTGGCACTCTCATAGAACTTCGTAGTTTGTGCCATTCATTTGAGGTTTAATGGCTCCTTTTTTTAACCGTTTATTCTGTAGATGTCCTATCTCTTCAACTAGAATGTAAATCTCTCTAGGGTGGAAAACATGTTTTTGTATTCCCCAAAACACTTACAATGCTCTGTATGTAGTAGGTGCTCATTAGATATTTATCTGCAGTTTTGATAACAGGATGGTTGGAATGACTTTACGAAGATATTGTAAAGTGTTAAAGATTCCAAAGATTATCCCCAGAGCATTGGTATGACTTTGTAGGCTTTATAGCTATTTCATGACTGTTAATAATAAAATGAATTTTATTTATTTATTATTTTTATTATTATTTATTTAGCCGGAAATTTTTATATGACTTTAGTCTTTGTAGTACACAGGGTTTTTTGTTTAAATCTTTTTTTTTTTTTAGGATTTTATTTATTTATTTGAGAGAGAGCATGAGAGGGGGTAGGGTCAGAGGGAGAAGCAGACGCCCTGCTGAGCAGGGAGCCCGATGCGGGACTTGATCCTGGGACTCCAGGATCATGACCTGAGCCGAAGGCAGTTGCTTAACCGACTGAGCCACCCAGGCACCCAACAGGGTTTGTTTGTTTGTTTTTTTAAGAAAAGTTTGGTGTGCCTGGGTGGCCCAGTTGGTTAAGCGGCTGCCTTCGGCTCAGGTCATGATCCTGGGGTCCTGGGATCGATGCCCCACGTCCGGCTCCCTGCTCGGTGGAGAGCCTGCTTCTCCCTCTCCCTCTGCCTACTTGTGCTCTCTATCGCTCTGTCAAATAAATAAATAAAATCTTTAAAAAAAAAAAAAAGAAAAGTTTGATATTTAGTTTGATGTCAAATTTTTTTTCCCTCTTGGAACAAAATTCTATGTGTCTTGAGATATAATCTATTTTAAATTAAATGGTGGGGTAACAAAAGCACAATTTTAATTTCTCTTTAAATTCTCTTAATTTCTAACTTCGGAGCTGATTTTGATATTTCAAATAGAAGCCTTAGCAAGAGGACACAGCTCTTAATTCCATTGAGAAATAACAAATCACTGCTGGTGACTACTTTGTAAAAAGTAGTATTATAGTGTTTGTAAGAAAATACTCACTGTTGGTGCCTCAAACTTAGTGTTTCTGTGAAATGTTGCAAACTAGTTTTCATATTTCAAAATATGAAAACTATGTTAAGTATTAATTCAAAAAGGAGGTCTTAATGGTTAAACATAAGAACCTTCAAAAATACTGCATATGAAAGGATCTCATAATTACCTCTATCTGCATCTTTTTTTTTTTTTTTTTGTCTTAAGAGTTTAGGATAAGATCTTAGTGATAAAAATGGTATTTTATCTACTGAGTTTTTGTAATTTAAATTTTCAGAATCTGTGGCTGAGGAAGAAAATTCTTTTTCTGAAAATCAGCCGTTTCCTTCTCTTAAGATGGTAAGTTCCTTAGGGAAACTAGGACAAGGCTATCTCATTAATTCTGTTATAAGTAAGTAAGTTATTTTGGTCTCTTAGATGGGCACTAAAAAGGCTGTGTCAAAGACAGCATTTATATAAACTTGTCATTGATTCTTTTTAGAGAAGATATATTTTTGTATGGTGTACCTATGCTACTTTTTAAGAGTAACCTATCTGCTCAAATGAATAAAAATCCCCACCTCAATGGGTTAATTTGGTAAGAACAGAAAATTCACATATTTCTGTATATAAACAAGAAATAGAGGGCACAGAAAAAGGGGCGGGAGGGACGTGTGATGGTGGAAGAGCATTTTTACAATATTTAAAACTGTTCCGGGGCGCCTGGCTGGCTCAGTCAGAGGAGCATGCGACCCTTGATCTTGGGGTCGTGAGTTCTAGCCCCATTTGGGTATAGAGATAATGTAAATAAAAACCTGAAGAAAAAAAAAAACTGTTCCTTAGCTTTTAGAGAGAAATGAGATTCTCCAACCAAAGAAAATAAGTACCCTCATTACTCAAAATGAGACACAAATTTCAAGAATTCACTTGAAAAAGTATAACAAATACTAGCATGAAGATTTTAAAACTAGACACAATTCATACAGGAATCTCTTTACCGTACCAGGCAAGCGCCTGTGGATGCCGGGCACTCCTCACTCATGCTGGGTCTGCTTTTTTTCCCCACTGGCTCCATTTCCTAACTTCTGTTCTTCTCCATTGTCTTTTTCTGATGTCAGGTACAGTAGATGTCTTAGGCAACAGTTTATCAGGATTATTCACACAACAGAAAAGAACCTACAAGAGAGCTCCTAAAACATGATTGGAATAATTTTCCAGATATTTGTGAAGCCCAGCCAAGTAACGTCATTCCTTCTGGTTCAAAAATCTGAAATCGTTTGGTTCTGAGAAATCTCATGATTCCTAGACTTGTGATTAAAAACAACTTTTAAAAAAATTGTGTATTAATGGTTTAACATTTACTTAGCCAAATAAGTTAAACAGTTTTATTCGCGTACTTTGCCACTGTCACTGTAATTTAATCACAGAAATTTTAAAACCAAAAAGGCCAAATAAAATCTGTTTATTTTTAAGAAAGGGAAAGAGAGAGCTCACGTGGAGGTGCTGGGGGGGAGGGGCAAAGGGAGAGGGGGAGAGAGAGTCTTAAGCAGGCTCAGGCTCAGTGCAGAGCCCTATGCCGGGCTTGATTTTGTGACACTGAGATCTTGACCTGAGCCGAAATCAAGAGTGGGATGCTTAACAGACTGAGCCACCCAGGTGCCCCTAAAATCTCAATTTAAAGGAGACTCTTTGTAAATTTGATGTTTAGCAGTCTCAATACTAATATACACTATTGTCCTTATTTTTCTAATTTTGTATTAGTCTGGTAAAAACATGATAGGTACACTAAATAAAATAAGCCTAAAAGTATCAGAGAAGAAAGTCAAAAAGCCCCACATGAAATGGAGTACACAGTTTTAGGTACTGTACTTTCCATGCAGCTGGTTAGTGTAGACCCAAGACCTATGATGGTGAAAGGATTTGAGGTTAAAGATGCATCTTTGTGGTAGTTCTGCCGTCACAGATGTTGCCTAAGACTACTGCTTTTGCTGTTTAATTTCTTTTGACTTCCTTATTTAACTTAATCATCAACCAGGTTGTTAGTTTGGGTATGAGAAAAGATAGTGCTGAAGGCACAAAACATTTTATTCTTACTTAGTGATATGTTTTACTATAGGTTTCTTTTTGTAATAATTCTCTTCTTTTTTTCTTCTCTTATTCTGCCATTCATCTCACCAAAATCAAAACCAAATTCACCTCCAACAAACAAAACTCTAGGTTTTAGAGTCTTTGCCAGAAGATGTAGGGTTTAACATAGAAATAAAATGGATCTGCCAACAGAGGGTAAGTAATCCTTGACGGAACACCTTCTTCCTCTCTCTCCCCCTCATTTCTTTAAATGCGTTTGTTCCCATCTCCTTATTTTAATGGAAAAGTGAAGCTGAAATCTTACTGTGGCTTCTTCCAACATTATTGGACCTTTTTAATAAAGCATACTTTATCGTTACACTATATGTGAGTACTTGAAAGTAGTGATGAATGTATTGTAGTATAAATGTCAATTTACATGTGTCTCATGTGCACATTAATATGGATGGTTTCTGGATATACTTACAAAATTAACAGTGAAAACTGGACAGTTAACTTTATAACTGATTAGTTTTTATTTTCTTATTCTCCATCTAAACATGTATTTTAAATAATTCCCTAAGCAGTTTTCTGTTAAGTGGCAGTAGTAGCTAGTAATAGTTAACCAAGAAAAGAAATTTCTGCAGGTGTGTTTTAAATCATTCCCAGATTTAGTCATTTTTTTGTTCAACAATTTATATTGAAAAGCTGCTGTGGGTGAGGCATTTTGTGGGTGCTGGGTTCAAGTAGTGAACAAACAGAATAAACATTGCCTTCTTGGAACTTATAGTCTAGTTGAGGAAAACAATTAACTATTGAATATATCAGATAGGGATATGTATAAATGGTTGGGGTGCATGGTAAGAGGGTTGTTGGGCCCTGAAAGGGGCTAATTCAGGTATGATTGGGCAATCAGAGCAATATCCTGGAATTTGTTTTGATCAGAATAATCTATAACTGCCCTCAAATCTTGCCTTCTAAGTACTGTTTATGATAAGCTAGTCCCAGTTAACATAGTAAGTGGTTTTTCTTAATAAGTGATTTTTAGTTTTCTGAGCTTTTAGGATTTAATGACTAATATATAAAACATCTAATATTTCAGTATCAACAGGGCTCTTAGTATCTTAGCTATATTTAGAGAATGTTATTTGAGGGTACTTGATATGTCTTAAGAGTCAAAGAATGAGGTTTTTAATTAGTAATTAATAATTACCTGGGTTTTTTTGTTGTAGGGGGGACACCTGGGTGGCTCAGTTGGTTGAGCATCCAACTCTTGGTCTCAACTCAGGTCTTGATCTCCGGGTCATTACTTACTTAAAGCCCCTCATTGGACTCCACATTGGGCATGGAGCCTACTTTTAAAAAAGGGGGGCGGGCGGCGCCTGGGTGGCTCAGTTGTTAAGCATCTGCCTTCGGCTCAGGTCATGGTCCCGGGGTCCTGGGATCGAGCCCTGCATCGGGCTCCCTGCTCGGCAGGAAGCCTGCTTCTCCCTCTCCTACTTGCCCTGTTTGTGTTCCCTCTCACTGTCTCTCTCTCTCTCTCTGTCAAATAAATAAATAAATAAAATCTTTAAAAACAAAAAAATTACCTGGGTTTTTTGTAATGAATTAGCAAATGAAGTCCTTTTCTTACAGTTCATGAAGATTATAGAAATATTTTATTTTTTTAAAAGATGTCATTTATTTGAGAGAGAGTGTGAGCGTGGGAGGGGAGAGGAAGAGGGAGAAGCAGACTCCCCGCTGAGCGAGGAGCCTGATGCGGGGCTCGATCCCAGGACCCTGAGATCATGACCTGAGCCGAAGTCAGACGTTTAATCGACTGAGCCACCCAGGTGCCCCTATATAAAAATATTTTAGGTGGTGGATATTGAGGAGGGCTCGTTCTGCATGGAGCACTGGGTGTTATGCACAAACAATGAATCATGGAACACTTCATCTAGAACTAATGATGTAATGTATGGGGATTAACATAAGAATAAAAAAAAAATATTTTAACTTCAGTAGAGTGCAGATTTCCAGAGTTTTAGCTTTTTATTTTGTTAACTTTATTAAAGGAAAAGTTTACTGATGGTATAACTGCTTTGTGTCTAAGTGTCTCTACCTGAATTTTGACAGCTGCACTATCACTAAGTAGCTGTGTGGTCTTGGGCAAGTTACTTAATCTTTTTAGGCTTTTGCTTTCCAAATGTAAAATAAGAGTTGGATTAGATGTTCCCAAGATTTCTTTTCTGGCACTGATTCTAGGGTATCTAATGACTTTTGTTTTCCTAAATGTTTATTTCTTCCACATAGGATGGAATGTGGGATGGTAACTTATCAACATATTTTGACATGAATATGTTTTTGGATATAATTTTAAAAACTGTCTTAGAAAATTCTGGGAAGAGGAGAATAGTGTTTTCTTCATTTGATGCAGATATTTGCACAATGTGAGTAATATTCAGTTTTTTTCACCTATATTCTTCGACAGTAGCTGGTACTTAGGGTACAAGGATTGTGGTTGGAGGTAGGGAGGTTGCCCAGATTTCACCCTTGACTTGACCTTTCAGTCAGGTTATATATATCTTCACATCCCTTTAGGACTACCTGCAGGATGCCCTCCCACCTCCTCCAGTGAACTCCACACCCACTGGATCCTAGTACCTCACCCCCTGTGTTTCGTTTTATAGGCCTATAACCTCCTCTTTACCAAATTGTAAGCCCTCAAGGGCTTTCTTGTTGCCCATTTCTGAGAATATTTTTAGCTCTTGTATAGAATGATTTAAAATTTTTCTTTTTGATTGAAAGGTGCAATACATGTTAATGGTGATTATATCTCAATAATGGGATTATGCTCTTTGGGGGGAGGTGGTTTCTTTATATTTTTAGAGTTTCCTAAAATTCTAAAACAGTATATTAGAATTATCTCCCTGATGAAAAGTATTTTTAAATTGTCTTTTTTAGGGTTCGCCAGAAGCAGAACAAGTACCCCATATTATTTTTGACTCAAGGAAAATCTGATATTTACCCTGAACTCATGGACCTCAGATCTCGGACAACCCCCATTGCAATGAGCTTTGCGCAGTTTGAAAACCTACTGGTAAGTTATGCTTGATTTTTTTTTTTCTTACTATTTTAATTTTTTAAGAAATGTCTTAGAACAGTAGTAAATAAGTTTTCATGTTATTTTACACCTCTGATTGGTTAGTTTTGACACATTTATAACAAGCTGATAGCTCTACTTAAATAAGGGTATTAGATCTCAGAATGAAAAGCAGTTAAATGAATGACAAAATATATTTTCTTGCGGGCCTAGATTAAGTAAGTTTCTGAGTGGATTTTATGAATCATCTGAAATGGCTTGACTGTAAATTTGTTTGATAAAATAAACTAGAAGAAAAAGTTCTGACATTTTTTTCTCTGCCCAGTCTACTTTGGGGAACACTGATGGAGATTGTAATCATTTAGCATTTGCGGTTAATAAGTTACTTTTTCATGAGTAACTTATTTTTCTTCTTTTAGGGGATAAATGCACATACTGAAGACCTGCTCAGAAACCCATCCTATATTCAGGAGGCAAAAGCTAAGGGACTAGTCATATTCTGCTGGGGCGATGATACCAACGATCCCGAAAACAGAAAGAAGCTGAAGGAACTTGGAGTTAATGGTCTAATTTATGATAGGTATTTGTTTTTCATGAAAAGTTTTCATGGATTGTTAGAAAAAAAAATAGTTGTTTTATAAAATTAAAAATAATATTAAACTTAGTTAAGTTAAAATTCTGTAGTTCAGCCTGAGGTTTATCTTAACATTTGTCAGTGGAATTTTTCAAACTCTGGAGTATAGCACAACCATGTGGGAAGCTTATTAAACATTTGGACGACTGGGCTCTACACCAGATGCGCTGTCATCTTGGGGGTTGGGGGGCTGTCTCCCCCAGACCTCTCTGCACCAACTTTCTTGGGGATCTCATCCAGTTCTGTGGTTTTTCATACCTTTATTCTCCAATTTTTGTATCTCCAACCTTTGTCTCTTTCCCCCGACCACTTACATTTTTATATCCAGCTATCAACACCTATCCTTTCTCTAGACTTCCTGATTTCAATATACATGGCAACTCTGTCTTTCCGGTTTCTCAGTCCAAATCCTTGGAGTCTTTTGTGGCTCTGTTCTTAAACTCATACTCTAAAACCAGTCAAACAGAATCTTGTTGATTCTGTCTTCAGAATATATCCTGAATGTATCCACTCACCATATTTATTATTGTCACTCTCTGCTAAGACAGCCTCATTTCTCATGTGGCTTATTGAAGTCCATCTGCTTACTGTCCACTCCTTTATCTACACCTCCTTGCTATCTGTTCTCAGCACAGCAGCCAGAGGGGAGCCTATTCTAACTGAAGTCAGATCGTGTTACTGCTTAAAACTCTCCCATGGGTCTCTTTGTCATCTAGAGTAAAATCCAAGACCCTTCCAAGGCCCCACATGAGCTGATGCCCATCTTTCTTCCTCCAGCTCCCACCCCAACACACCCACACAAACATAAGCTCCATGAGGACAGGCTCTTTGCCTGTTTTTATTCACTCCTGTGTCTCCAAAAGTTAGAACAATGTGTGACATACAGTAGGGATTCAAATATTTGTTGAAACAAGTTTTTTCCTTTTTTTTATAAGCTCCCTAGGTGTGTTTATGATATGTTTGAGAGCCACTAATCGGAGAGACGAAAAGATTGCTTAATATAAAGAAATTTGGGGTTAGAAGGGATGTCATTTAGTCTGCTGAGGGGTTAGCAGGCTTGCTAATACTTGAGCAACATCCTATAAAGAGTAAGTGATGAAATTCTTACGAGGCCTGCTTTAAAAAAATTCGTTCCTTGGATGTAGTTCACTTTACTGTTTGTCCCTTATACACTTCCAACTAATTAAAGGAAGATAAAAATTTTTACAGTAACCATTTGAAAGAAGTGCTGGCTTTAGCAAAAAAAATTTTTTTTTTTTTTAAAGATTTTATTTATTTATTCATTAGAGACAGAGAGAGAGAGGCAGAGGGAGAAGCAGGCTCCCAAGGAGCAGGGAGCCCGATGCGGGACTCAATCCCAGGACCCTGAGATCATGACCCGAGCCGAAGGCAGATGCTTAACCATCTGAGCCACCCAGGCGCCCTTTAGCAAAATTTTTGAAGAATATTTCTTTGAGGAGGAGGAAGGAATGATTGCAAATATTTTCAGGCAAGAAAATGTAATCTGAGACATACTCTGTATGACTTTGTAGTGTGTACAGATTTTAGGCAGATCCTTTGAAGGGCCTTACTTGGTTGGAGCCAAATTGTGACATGTAATGGACAATAGGAAGATACTTTGTGATATAAAAGGCCCTGAAGAAAGTGAGTAATCTTCCTGGCCCAGGGTCAATAAGAATAATTTTAAAGAGGAAGCATTGAGTTGGTTTTTGGGAGTGGCTAAGTTTGCTTTGACAGGATTTGAGTTTTGGGCAGAAGCAATAGCGTGACTCAGGGCAGGACTGTGTTGAAGGTGTGGAAGACATTGAGGAGACAGCCCAGGACGGGGCTCCTGCTAGGGTCTGTTAAAGTTGTGTTTACCTTTGAAAGTTGTTGGGTTTTTTTGTTTTGTTTTTTAATGTTTTAATCAAAGAAGTGTGTGTGTAAGGTTTACAGTAAAAACCAGCAGTCCCCTATGCCTATCCCTTTCATTGTTTTTAGCTGAGTTCCTGTGGCCAAATGTTTTTTATTTTTTTAAGAGAGAGCGAGTGGGTAGGGGGCAGAGGGAGAGAGAATCTTAAGCAAGCTCCATTCCCAGTGTGTGGAGTCTGACTCCAGGCTCAGTCTCTTAACCCTGAGATCATGACCTAAGCCAAAATCACGCTTAACCAATTGAGCCACCCAGATGCCCCACCCTAAAGTTTCTTTAGCTGTTTCTTCTGGTATGTAATTTGCTTATGCTATTATTTTTTTTATTATCAAATCTAGACATAATAGAGAAGGTTTTGAACGATTAGTGATTTTGGAGCCTTTGATCTGTTTTATGTTGGGGAGAATTGTTGATGAGAGTGGGTGTTTTTAGTTGATCAAAACTGATTTCTTCTTTTCTCTCACAAAGGCAATAACACATTGTAGATTTTACATTTAATCATGGTTTTGTGGTACATTATCTCATATAAAGAGCTATGTTTGATTTGCTGATATTTGGGATTTTTGCAATTGTGATAATGAGTAAGATGACCTTTAATTTACCTTTCTTAACTGGTTGTTGTCTCATTTTGGTATGGGGAAAATACTGGCCTCATAAAGTAATTAGGCAGTGTTTCCTCTTTTTATAAGAAAAATTACTGTGTCTGCTCAAATGATTAAAAAATAAATCCAGTAACAGACACCCATGTTTAAAGAACATTATCATTAGATTTGAAGTCTCCCATATGCCTCTCCCTAATTCAATTCCCTTATCTCCTCCCTTAGATATAACTGCTTATCAAATTATTATTCTCTTTGTAAAAATTTTAAATTCTTATTTCTATCACTAAATAATATACCATTCTTTAAACTTTATTTGTACTTTTTTCCCATTTGTTATAATGTTCTTAAAATTAATCTATTTGTTGTATATAGCTATAATTTATTCATCTTTGTGGCTATATAATTTCATGGCTATGTCTCCATCACAATTTATTTTATATGAGAACATTTAGGTAGTTGCCAAGTTTTTGCTTTTGCAGTGTTTGCTGTAAACATTGTTGAACCAGGCCTTCTGGAATACATGTGTAAAGTTTCTCTAGGGCAGTGACTTTCAAACCATTTTGACCCAACCCAGTTAGAAATGCATTCTACATTGTGACCAAGTGCACACATTGATATGTATATGTACCTGAAACAGAATTTTAAAAAGAATCGCCCTTGGATATTTTCTATTTGTATGTGTACTTTTGAAATGCTAGTCCATTTTGCCACTGGCCTTCACCTTTTTAAATGCTAGTCTTAACTTTCCAAACTTGTTTGGCAACCCACTGTAAGGCATCTGTCTATGGGTCAGGTATTGGAAGTACATCAGGAATATGGTCCTGTGAAGTGGGTGGTTCTGTATTCCTTGGTTCTGCACCCATTGTAGCCTGCTACCAGTTCTCAGGAGTGGGCCAGTGCATAACTGTCAGTTTATCAGCAGCAGCACATGGTTAAAACAAGCCACATATAAGTAAGATTCTGATTCAGGCTTGCTAGGGCACTCTGTCCTTAAGGTACAACGCTGGTCGAGTGGCAGTGGCCCTCTTGGAGTGATGAGAGTCCCTCACACACCTTCCTTTTCACTCAGACTGCTCCAGTGTAGACTCACTGACTTCTTTGGACACTGCTGTCATCCTGAGTGAAAATTGCTCCCTGACCTCAGTCCCTGTGTCAGAGCTCCCATCTCCTGTAGTCCAGATCTTTTTTGCTTTCCTGTCATTTTTATGGAACACATCCTTCAGCATCTTCTTGAGAAAGGAGGACATGGAAAATAAATGTTTGGTCTTGCATGCCTGGAAGTATTGTGGCTGGGCATAAAATTTCGTGTTAGGAAATCATTTTCTTTTAGAATTTTAAAAACACTTCTCCGTCACATTCACAGTTTCAGTGTTACTGTTGAGGAGTGTGAAGCCATGTTGATTCCTGTTCCCGCACATGTGATTTCTTTGTTTCCTATCTGGAAGCTTGCAGAGTCTTCTTGTCACCACAGTTGTCAAATTTCATAGAAATGGATCTTGTGTGGGTCTGATTTCATCCCTTGTGCTGGGCACACAGCAGCCCATTTAATCTGTTGATACATGTCCTTGAAGATGCAGAGATTCTGTGAATTATTCTTTGATTTTTGTCTCTTCTGTTTTTCTGCCCCCCCCCCATAGAAATCCTTTCGTTTACATACTATTCAGTCTTGGACCAGACTTCTAATTCTTACGTTTTCTCCTATTTTCTCTTTGTCTTTTTGCTCTACTTTGAAAGATTTCTCCAACTTCATCGTCCACTGTTCTATTGAGTTCTATTTTCTGTCTTTAATTTTAAGAACTGTCTTTTTTCTTTGAGTGCTCTTTTTTCTTCTATATATAACATCCTGTTTTGGATCAATGAACTATTTCTGTGAAGGCATCAGGGCTTTTTTTTTTTTTTTTAGTCTTTGGAATTTTCTTCTTTTTGACTCACTATCTTACATGTTAGAAGCTTTCCTCAGTTATTTGGAAATCCTTGGCTGCTTCTCATGGTAAGAAATTGGGATCTAAAAAGCTTGTTGAAGGCTCTGAGTGTGTGAATGGGGCTTGTTAACTTGGATTTCACTGTGGGGTGATCTGGGTGGCCTGTTCGGTCATACTTCTGATGTCAGTAGATTTAGAACTTTACTTTTTGGCTGACCAGATTCCTCACAGAAGAATCTATATAAACTACCTAGAGGATCCAGATCTGGCTCCCAGGGTTCTTGGGATTCAGGTAAGGGAAGAGAGCTGGGGAAGGGAGGGCATGTCTCTGAATTTTGCATGTGTTATATGTATGGACTGTCTCTAATTCCCCTGGTGCTGGTGGCTTTTGTAAAATGCCCAAACCCTCACCTGGTCTTCTAGTCCTCCATTCCAAGAGCTTTCCCGTTAAGTTCTCAAAATCACCCTAAGTGGGGGAGTGGGATGCTGGGCAGCCTCCATGGCAGGAAGTTAGAAGGAAGGGAGATGCTTACTGCTGCTCAGAGCCTTCACTCATCTTCCGTGTTTTAGCTGCCCCCCCCCCCTTCCCCAGTTCTAGGGGAATCTGGTGCTGCTTTTAACTCAGCCTTTTCATGTTTTCCACTATACTGGCTTGTGATTTGGCCTTTTCCGTTCTGCTAACTGAAACACTTTGTTACTACTTATGCATCTGTTTTCCAGCTTCCAAAATTTTGTTGCTGTGTCTCTTTGTTTTTTTCCCCATACGCATGGATTCTTTTTTAATCCCTTTATTTTCTTTTTAACGGGATGTACAAAGAAAGTATAGTTGCTTCTGTTTTTGGTCTGATATCTTGACCCGGAGGTCACTTCTCATTCTCTTAGAAATTTGTTCCTACTATGATGTCCCAACGACCTCTGTTGTAGCACCTCACATGAGCTGCCTGGCCCTCACATCTAGGCCCGGAAGGCCATCCTGTCTCTGCTGATGGGCAGTGTGCTGCTGCTATTGTCACATGGGGCTTTTTCTGGCCTCTCAACTATGGGTACCTTGGCCTAGGCCGCACAACTTTAGGACAGTTCTCACAGTGCGGATCTTCAGGGCTTTGAAGTCACAACTGGGTATGAATTCCAACTCTGCCTCTTAGTAGCTTCCCATCTGTAAAATACGGCATTGCCAGTTGATTGGCTTGGAGAGAAGATACCTGAAGAATCAATCCCTAGGAAACTACAGGTTTATTTTGTTTTCTGATTCAGTTGCTTTGTAATTCATTCTTTTTCATTATGGGCACATAAGGACGTGCTGCTGTTCTGTGTTGTTGGAAAGATGGAGAAGAAGTATTTTTATTTTT